GGGAGGTTTTCAACACCAGCGGCTCCAGTGTTGGGAGGAGCCCGGGGGGAGGAATCTGCTCCCCAAGGAGCAGGGCCCAGGGCCAGTGCAGCTGCCTGAGCAATCCCTGGCCAGGTCGGTCTCCCGCAGCTCCCAGCCGCCGCGGCCTTGGCTTTACGCCCCACTCGGAAAGAGAAGCTGCGTCCCCTGGCCCCACCCAGCCCCGAGCCAGGGCTGGCTGCAGCTCCCCGGGTTCCCCTTCAACGCTCAGCTCCCCTTGAACTCCGCTGGCGTTAAGCACGTGCTGCGGTGAACCAGGGCTTGGACACAGGGGTGGATGCGAAGGCTGGGGGGAGCTGGGATTCGAACCGGCCGGGGACTTTGAAACTTGCTGCCACCAGAGGCAAGAAGCCCCCTCCAGGCCCTGCGCTCAGGATCCCGGGCCCAGACCCACAGGGAAGAGTCGCACCCCCCCTTCCTCCAGCCAGCCCGGGAGCGTTCACGCCGCGTTCCCCTGGGAAGGCCCCAGGAGGTGGGGAGACGCCGCACGGCCGGGGCCAGCCCCCCTGCCTGTGAGATGGGCGGACGGCCGCTCGGCTCCGCCTGGCCAGCTCCGGGCGCACCGTAGCTTTGCAAATATTAAAAGGTGCCGGCCCAACCTCAGGAGATGAAATTCCCAGCTCTGCCTCTCCTGGGCTGTGGCATCACGGGCAAGGCCCTGGCTGTCTCTGCTTCCCCAGACCCAGCTCTGCCGCCCGGCCCGTCAGCTCCTTGCGGTGAGGGCTACGTACAGCGCCGAGCACCAAGCAGGAGCTGACCGCGGCCGGGACCCTGGTCAGCAGCAATAAGATGCCAGGAGGCCGGAGGTGGAAAACATTAATACTTTATGAACGAGTTACATTTTCACAGCCTGAAGTCGGAGGGATTTTTCTTTTAAAGAGAAGAAATTTCACAGGGTGTGAATTATAAACCGGGTTGGATCCAACCGTTTCTCCCCAACCCACCCCAGCCTCAGGAGGAGCTGGACGGAGCCGCGCTTGCGTCCTCCCACCAGCGCCCCGGGACGGGCCAGGCAAGAGCAGAGGGCGAGGAAAGCCACAAAGGCAGCAGCCTCCCGTCCTCCCCCACCTAATAAATAACAGCAGCTTAAGCCTAAGAACAGAGGAACCCACCAGAGCTCTCTCAGCCACACGGCCGGGGGTCGCCCCACCTCTCCGAACAGCGGCCCGCTCGTTGCTCCCCTCCACGCCCCCGCCGGAGCCTTTCAACGGGGCACAGCCTGATCCAGGGACAGATGCCCCCCAAGGCTCTCTGGAGCCACGTGAAGGGGGGTGAAGGTGCTGGGCTCCCCGTCCCCCCACCACACACAGCACTGGCCTCACCGGTGATACTCCATTTGATCGCCCCCCCGGCCGATCTGAGAATGTCAGGACAAGAGGCCGGCGGTAGTAGCTGACCAAATAAAATGAAAAGCATTTCAGCTGCCTGTAAATAAAGACCTTGATTGACAAGGGAAGGAGGAGCGGTTCTATCTTCGAATGAAGTCTGCAAACGGACATTAGCCCCTGTGAGTGGCACTCTCGAACGGGAGAGAGGACGGCAGCGATCTCGGGCATGCTGTGAGTGGTCAGGGCAAGGCGGACGTCCGGCAGGCGATTGGGGTGCTGGGTTTTTCATCATGTTCCCGGTGGAAAACCCAGGTTGGCAGAAGGACATAGATGGCTAGATTCGGATCAATCTTTTAACTATCCCCAAACTGGTCAGCATATTAAGCTCAGAAAGCTGGGAATGGGCGCCCGGGGATGGATCACTTGGTGATTCCCTGCTCTGTTCATTCCCTCTGGGGCACCTGGCATTGGCCACTGTCTGAGGACAGGACACTGGGCTGGATGGACCTTTGGTCTGACCCGGTCTGGACGTTCTTATGCTATCACCAAGACCCACTGCTCTGAATTTTGCCAAGACATCTGAGCGCTGGAAATTGAAAGACACCTTCGGCAATTGGCTTGCGAAGGTTCTGTGCTTGAGAAGGGCGAGGTCCCTCGGGCACGGACAAACGGATGGCGAATAAAAGCAAATCCTCTGGGGTTTTAAAATATAGCTCATAAATTCTAGCAAACAGTGTCCCGTCAATCGCTCGATTCGTCCACAGCCAGAGGCGTGTTTGGCGTTTTGTAAATCGGAAAGCAGTGCTGACAAACCACCCTCAAGTTACCGCCCGTGGAATCAGCCGGGGGAACTTCCTTCATACGGTTCAGTGTCACCTTTGTTTTTACCTCTGGCAAAAAGCTCCCCCCGCACGTCCAGCGGGCCCTCCTGCCCCAGCTCGGCAGCCAGGAAAGGCCGTTTCTTTTGCGCTAGTACCCACATTCTCCGAAGAGAAGCAGCCGCTGCTTTTCCCTGCAGTCGCTGCTGGGGTGAGGAGGACATTTGAAGTGCAATACAGAGACCGCAGATTTTCCATCTTGTCCCGTCTTACAACACTGCCAGGAGGACAGGCCGCGGCCAAGTTACTTTGATTCACCGTGGCGACCTTCCGGACGGATACGGCCGTTTGGCAACTTGACGAGCCGACCTAAGAGAAAACCCGCTGGCCAGTTCGGGTTAAAAGCTCGGTTTCCGCTGCCGACTTGGTGACGTTTACGCCCAGTCGCATTCGTTTGTGGCTCTGTTTCCATCACTAACGACAAAAGGGGCGGGGGTGACGCTCTCGCCAGAACGTCAGGCTGGGTAAGTCGCTTGCTAAGGCAGCGCATCATGGACTGAATTGAATTACACACGTTTTGTAAGGGGAGCTGGCGGGCCCCCGGGAAGCCGGGGTGGCCCACAGTTGGCCCGCGGGCCGCCTATTGCGTATCACTGGTTTGGCGGTTACCAGGAGGGCCGTGTGGGCCGTGCGATGGTTTGGGCCAAGGATTAGGAGAGAGACCCCAGGGCCGTAGCCCGGCCGAGCTGTACGAGGGGGCCAGGGATCACTGCTGCCGGAGGAGGTGAGAGGGACGGGGAGGGGGCGCAGGCGAGGGGCTGCGTGAGGACAAAGCAGACGGGCTCTGGCTGCTCAGGGAGGCCACCGGCTCCAGCTAGACTCTGCCCAGGGCGGGTAGGGATGGGCAGTGGCAGGGCGAGCCCCTCTCAGCCGGCTGGGGCCATTACAGGAGCCCCGAAGGGGCCAGATGAGAGCCAGAGGCAGTTAACACTCAGAGCACTAGGTGATTTAGGAGCCCAGATCCTATTGGCTTTCGACAGGCCTTTGGAGCTTGTCCCTTCGGCACTCTTGAAAACGTGACCCTGGGTCTGGACCCCGCGGGGCCGGATTCGAACCGGCCCCTGGAGGGGAAGGTGCTGTGGGCACGTTACCCCGCCTCAGGAGACCTGGCCTTTCTGGCCCGGTAGGTGGCTTGGTTTGAGATGCGGATGTGCTGTTACATCTGCCAGGGGGGTTTAAAACCCAGATCCCAGCGCCCGCCCAAGGGATTCGGCGCACGAGCCGCGGAGGGCTCCTGCCACGGGCACTGCACGAGACTAAACCATTTGAGAGCAGCTTCCAGCCAAGTCAGAGTCCCGGAGACAGGAGTGGCCCCAGATGCCAATGGTCCAGTATTAAGCTACAGTATTTCAAAGGGGCCGCGCCAGCCGCCCAGCCCCGACGTCCCGCCGCCCGGGGCAAGGCGGAGTTCGCAAGCACAGTGCTCGGGAGCGCAATGGCTGGCTGGGGGAAAAGCAGCGAGACGAGGTGGAGCCCGGCGGAGCCAGACCCCGGCTTCAAAAGCAAAACCAGTGTAACAGAAATCCCCGCCCAGCCAGCCGCACGCTGCAGGGAACCGCTCCCGAGCTCCCACGCGGGACAGGCAACCCCAGGCTAAGAGACACCCCGCACCTGCCTAGCTCCGAGCAGCAGGAGACAACTCCAAACGAACCATCTCCCAAGGAGAACCCGCTCCCCCCTCGCCCTGGCGTTAACGCTCCTACCCAGAGCAGCAATTAGCTCCGGGCGGCTGGCCGGGGCCCCGTTACTTCAGCGTTATTGAGCCGGGCCCACGCCAGCCTCAGGTTCAGGGGGACGAGCAGCAGGCAGGGAGCGGCCGACAGAAGACACCGTGGCTGCATACAATCAAACGGCCAGTTTGCCGGAGGCCCAGGGGCGGGCGGCTCGGGAAGCAGGGGGCTCAGCGAGCGAGGCACGTGGTCCTGGGAAGAGAAGAGAAAGTGCTTCAGCCCCGGGGGGCCCGACTGGCCAAGGTACAGCACTGGGGAGAGAAGAGAGAGTCAGTCTCCGCGGCCGAGCAGCGTGGGCAGCTCCCACGGGGGTTTAGGGGCTTGGACAGCTGCCTGGGAGGTGGGGCGGGAGTCGGGGGAGTACGGCAGAGAGAGACGAGCTCCAGCCTCTCCACCCACCCAGCACCGCGTGCCCCAGGCCTGCCCCACTGCTGGGGGGCTGTGGAGGGAGCCCGCTCCACAGACCGTCAGTCGTTCGGGTCTGGACAACCCGCCCCCCCAGGGCCGAGCCCGCGCGCACGTGGCTTCTCGGCTCCCCCCAGCTTACTTGCAGACAGACTCCTGGTGCCGTCGCACTCAGCAGTTGCACGGCTGCTTGCTCTGTGTTTGGGCCCCGCGGGGCTGGCGCAGGTGGCGCAAGGAGGTGTCTCCGTACTGGATGCCTGAGCCCATCCTCTCGGGGTCCAGCTCACCTGGGCAGACAGAGCAGCGCTCAGCAGGGCGGGACACACGACCGTCCCTCCCGCCCCCCGGATTGCGTGGGGCTGGGAGGGAGGAATCTTTACCAGGACCCTGCCAGGACAGGCGGGGCCCAGCCGTGGGTTCGCGCCAGCCGGGGTAGTCACTAACAGACTCCAGCCTGACTCCCGTTGATGAGATCGATTCGGGAGCGACCGCCGCGGCGGGCTGGGAGAGCAGACACCCTGCGGGCACCAGAGACCCCTGCCACGGACTGCTGGGGCCGGGGCAGCGCTGCGCCCCTGGAGAACTGGGCCATACCCCCGTCTCCTGCCCTGCTTCAGAACACGCCTGGGGGCGCTGGTCTCAGCCAGAGCCCAGACCATCATCGGGCTCTATCACCCTTCTTAGTCCTGGAAACCCGTTTCCCTTCCTGGCTGAGACGCTGAGGTTGGAAACACTCCAGGGGGGAGCGTGGGGCTGCGTCGCGCCCCCCCAGGGCCCCCTGACAGCTCCAGCCTCGTACCTGATTCAATTTTGTTTAGTATGGTCCTGGCACATTTTAAGAAAGCTTCTTCCACGTTCTCCCCGGTCAGCGCGCTGGTCTCCAGGAACATGAGTTCTGCCGAGGCGGAGAGAGAAACGGCAGGACGGTAACCGGGGGGCGGCTCCCAGCCCGATTCGCCACGGCGCCCACGCTAAGCCCGGGACAGCCCCCGCTGGGTGTCGCGAGACGCTGCTCGCCAGCGGGGCCTGCGTACAACGGGGCCCGACCCGGCGCCACTGCTACACACTGAACGGAGACGCTGCTCGTCAGCGGGACCCGACCCGGCGCGTCCAGTCTGACGCAGGGTTCAAACCACGGAGTCTGAGCTCCCCCTCCTGGCCAAACAGCACCAGTGCCGGGGAGCGACTCCTAGCAGCTCTCCCGCCGTTTTCATCCAGCCCCCTTCGCCCCGGGGCTCTGCAGAGCTCCGCCGCCCGCCCCGAGGGGCCCGAACGCAGCTGCCGCCTCCCCCCCAGCGCTCAGCAAAGGAGCGACCTGCCTCCAAGTAACGTTTAAGGAGGCAGGATGGGGCTGGGGCGGTACCCCAGGGCCTATGACCCCTTTTGGGACCACGGGCTTTTAATGCTGGCATGGCCAGGACTGCAGTGTTACCGCTCATGGGAAAGACGGCACCTGCTAACACTGCGCCCCCCAGCACCTGCTCTGGGGCCCGCCCTGCCTGCCGGGGGAGAGCGCCCCCTGCCGAGCCCCCCACCCCGCTCCCTGCCCCACAGTGCCCCCTAGCGCCATCCTGGGGCCAGCCCTGCCTGCCAGGGGGGGTTAAAACCCAGGAGAGTGCCCCTGCCGAGCCCCCCACCCTGCCCCCTGCCGAGCCCCCCGCCCCCTGCCACCACCCTAGGGCCAGCCCTGCCTGCCGGGGGAGAGCGCCCCCTGCCGAGCCTCGAGCCCTGCCCCCTGCCGAGCCCCTCATCCCCTAACACCCCCCTGGGGCCAGCGCTGCCTGCCGGGGGA